TTTAGGGTTTAGGGTTTAGGGTTTAGGGTTTAGGTCCCACGTGCAAAGCAAAACCCGAAGCCCAAGACGACGCGCCTTGGGTTTCAGCTGCGCCACGGCCGCAGCGGCACCCAGCGTGCTTGCGGAGCCGCCTAGGGTGCCAGGAAGGGGATTTAGGGTTGAGGGTTTAGGGCTGAGGGTTGAGGGTTGAGGGTTTAGGGCGAAACCCTGATCCCTCAACCCTCGACCCTAAAACCCTGAACCCCTAAAGCCTAAATCCTGGTCCTGGTATTCCAAGCAGGCCCAGTCCCCAGACCGCGCAGTCGGTCTTAGGTTTGGGGTTTAGGGTTTGGGGTTGAGGGTTTGGGGTTTAGGATTTGGGGTTTCGGGTTTGGGGTTTGGGGTTTGGGGCGGGGTTTGGGGGCTTGGGGGTTTAGGGTTTAGGGGGGTTGAGGGTTTAGGGTTAAACGTTTCGGGTTTGCAGATCTGGGGGCCTTCGGGCCGAGATGTTCGATGTGTTTGTGCTTTTGTCCGCGATCAAACCCACAGGCACACACCCGGCCGACCCCCCAACCCTAAACCCTAAACCCTACACCCTAAACCTACCCTAAACCTACCCTAAACCTACCCTAAACCCTAAACCCAAAACCCTAAACCCAGACAGGCCGCCCATGTCGAACTTCATCATCTCAATCATCGAGCCTGGCTTTCTGGGGCGAGCCCCGTGGAGGGCGGAGGAGGGGCATTCTTGGCTTGTAGGGCCCGGGGCTGAACATGCTGGGATGTTCCCAAGCTAGGCTTTAAGGTTTGGGTTGATGCTTAAGTAGGTTTAGGGACTGGGACTTGAAGCTTTCGGGAAGCAAAAATAATGGCTGAGCTTGCAAAGTCCTGGGCAGAAGGGACAATCTTGACCTTTGTCAGCCTAATTCTTGACAAAGATCAACTCAAATTACCTTGTGTTCTTGTATCGGTGGTAGTATATGGTGTTTGTGGTGACGATCGAACGGCACGAACCTTAGTGTGGATCTAGAGCTGAGGAATACATCTGTTCACTTGAGCCCAAGCCCTAAACCCTGAACCTAAACCCTAAACCCTAAACCCTAAACCCTAAACCCTAAACCCTAAACCCTAAACCCTGGGATTTAGAGCCAAGAATGTCTCAAACAGCGGAGTCCGTAAGGTAAGGCTCCGGGCCTCAAGGGCCACTTGGAGGTGGAACGCGTAGGGTTCTACAAGGGAACGTACTTTGGGCACTTGTCTAGCCCTAAACCCTAAACCCTAAACCCTAAACCCTAAACCCTAAACCCTAAACCCTAAACCCTAAACCTAAACCCTGAGCCCTAAACCCCAAACACAAAATCTGTGGGGGTCTGAGGCCTCGGGCCCCAAAACTTACACCCCAAACCCCCAAACTCTAACAAAACTGTCAAAACACGCCTAAAAACCCTTAGGGTTTAGGGTTTAGGGTTTACGGTTTAGCGTTTAGGGCTTCCCTTCACAAGACAAAATGGCTCCGCCGACCCCCACCCCCCCGGGGCCTCCCCCTGCCTTCAGGTTGTAGCCGCCCGAGTCGAAAGTCAGCCCTTGCGATGGGAACGGTGGTTTAGGGGCACAAGGTTCGGGGGTTTAAGGTTCAGGGTTTCGGGTTTGGGGTTCAGGGGGTTAGGATTTTAGGTTTCAGGGTTCAGGGTTCACGGCTCAAGGCTTGTGGCAGTGGTTGAGCACCCAGTGCACGGGGTATTGGCTTTTGGGTTTGGGATCTTCGGGCTCCTGGTCCCCGATCCTCCTTCGGGCGAGGCTCAGGGTTTGGTGTTTGAGTGGCGCTGTTTGGCTTAGGGCGAAGGCACACGAATCCCAACACCATCCGTTCTCGGGACGTGCCAAGCAAGACCGTTCCCGAACAAACTGAGCTAAACTGATCTAGCACTCACCACGAGTTAGGGTTGGGGGTTGGTTGGCATGTGCCCCCCTTATACTAACAGTCCTTACTAGGGATTATAATAGGGGGTTACAATCCCGATTAAAGACTGTTAGTATAAGGGGGAACATCCCACCTCAGACCCGAACAGCGAAGCCCAAGTCCCAATCCCAGCGCAATCCCTCAACCCCAAACTCCAAGTCCCAGTCCCAGTAAACCCTAAACCTTAATCCCTAATTAAACCCCAAACCCTAAACTCTAAACCCTAAACCAGAACCCTAAACCCTAAAACCTAGAGCCTTAACCCCGATGCTAAACCCCTAAATCCTAAGCCGAATCCCACCTTTGCCCACGATGCCGACTTTCCTCTTGGGCGTGCCACCTGGAGCCAAAGTTGCGCTTCTTGGAGGTTCGACTTAGGGTTAGTCTTTAGGGTACTTATAACCCCAGTGATAAGTCTACTTACAGTAAACTCCAGAAGGTTGGAACCTGGTTTTAGGATGATAAACTGAAGTTTAGCTACATGGGATAGGCCGAGGGGTTGTCTGGGGGGCTAGAATCACGGACTGGAGTTGGCCCAGCCCTCGCAAAAAACAACACAAACTCCAAGCAGGGCCGCAAGGAAGGTTTTATGACGCGAGTGGGCGAACTTGGTTGCAAAAGGGCGGCACAATACAAACGCTGCCACGGCTGTGCGATGCACAAGCGGCCCAATGTTGTGGAAGAAAGGGTTTAGGGTTTAGGGTTTAGGGTTTAGGGTTTAGGGTTTGGGGTTTAGGGTTTAGGGTTTAGGGTTTAGGGTTTAGGGTTTAGGGTTTAGGGTTTAGGGTTTAGGGCTTAGGGCTTAGGGCTTAGGGCTTAGGGTTTAGGGTCCGGGTTTAGGGTTTAGGGTTAGGGTTTAGGGCTTAGGGTGTGCCATGGGAGCGCGCGGTAGTCTGCAAACTTACCCACCCCAAGACCGCCCACTTGCAACTCTCAAGGGGTTAAGACCTTTTGTTTTTTACAAAGCATCACATGAGTCAGCACTCACGCCGTTTTGGGGACCTCCACAAGGTGCGTGGACCAGGCACAAAGCTGCACAGGGTCAGCGAAGACAGCTTGGGTTGGCGCCAGGAACAGACAAAGGCAGCGGGGGTAAGGTGACAGGGTGCCGGGCCCTGGCCAGGGCCAGGGCCAGGGCCAGGGCCAGGGGCAGGGGGCAGGGGGCAGGGGGCAGGGGGCAGGGGGCAGGGGCCAGGGGGGCATTTTTGCCACAGCTCAGCGGACGGGGGTCAGGGACCTAGGGGTCTCAAGGGGCCCTCCCATAATGCCTCCACTGCAGGACCCAACAATGTGCGTGGACAGCTTGGGGTTTAGGGTAATATAAAATACAGTGACAACTGCTGACTCGGCCTGTGCCTGGAGGATAAGCCAGCCTGGAGGCCAGCTCGGTCGTCCGCCTGGGGCTCCCTCGCAGGGTCTCACTGAGCGCTCGACCAGCGCCCGCCTACCCCAAAACACAAGAGAGTGGGGTGGCGGGCGGGTTTAGGGTTTAGGGTTCAGGGTTCAGGGTTCAGGGTTCAGGGTTTAGGGTTTAGGGTTTAGGGTTTAGGGTTTAGGGTTTAGGGTTTAGGGTTTAGGGTTTAGGGTTTAGGGTTTAGGGTTTAGGGTTGGGCTGATGTATATCCCCCCCCCTACTTTTTGTAGATGTTCTACACTACTCCACACAATCGTCCAAGAGTGCAAGCAGACATAGTTCAGGACGAGGCACCTTGGCTGTCGCATAAAAGCACGCCGAGCGACTAACCCTTACACACAAGTGGCTTTTGGAGCTTCGCAAAACCCCATGACCACATCTGCCGGCCGGAGTCTTTTGTTCCCCGGAGCCAGAATACACTCTGTGCCAGAACCCGCCCGTTTGGGTTTGAAACACTAGACATTTATGCTCATGAGATTGTTCGCACAAGGGCCGCCATTCGACATGGCGAGACCGCGAAAAACATCAAGCATATTGTCCCCCACATTAATGTAGAACACGTACTCATCCATCTCATGAGCATCAATATGGAGCTTGCCATACCTGGCACGAGACCATGCCTTTAGCCTGCTGTTCTCGCTTTCAGCATCATTGGTGTGGAACCCTGTCACACGATCCCGGAACCATTTCTCATGGTTTACAGGGGGAGCACATTTGTACCCCAAAGCGTTCACGGCCTTGTTAGTTGCAGCCCACCCATCAAAAACGAGATAGCTGCCCTTTACCACCCTAGACTGTACAGTTGCACTCATTTCCTGAAATCCACGAGGTTTTCCTTGGCTTGCTTGAGAGCTGCGGGGAAGAAGACGGTATGTGACTCGTTTTTTCCTGTTTGCGTGCGTGAAGACTGCCTTCCCCTTGCCGACCACGACAGCAACCCAAAGCCACTTGCCGTTCTTCTTCAAGTTAGCAGAGGGTTTCTTGGCAATCTTGGCGGGATGCGCCTTGGCAGGTTTCTTGAGAACAGACGAAGGTTTCTTCTGCACCCTGGAGACTGAAGCGGGCTTCTTCTTGATGAGGATAGACGAGGAGGACACTGCTTTCTCACCAGGTAGGAGAGTTCGAGCTGGAAGTCTTTTCATAGCACCATGGTGGACGAGCTTGTTGACATCCTTTCGTTCTGATTTGCGGTTTTGCTCCGCGCCTGCTTTGTTGATTCCTTTTGACCCCAATGCCCAGCCGTCTTCTGGATGTATCCCGACGATGCACTCGTCTAACACCACGACCTCATTTCGCCCTCCAACTTTCAAAGCCCCCATCTCATGTAGAGCTCCTCCAAGAGCCTCTTGATAAATGGCCCTCCATCGCCTCAAGGTAGCCACGCAGATGTTACCGTACCCAGCCTGCAGCTCTTGAATGATCGCTTTGTAGCTGCGACCAAGCCGAAGAAGGTTCATGAAATGTAGGAAAGGCATCCATGAGTTGACAGGGACTTTGGTCAGGAACCCGAACTTGTTGAGATTGAGCTCCATGTGCTTGTGGCCCACACGCTTGCAAGTGTAGCCATACGTGGTCCACCCGCGCGAAGTCCGTTCTTCGAAGGAAGCTTCCTTTCCACATCGGGTGCACTTCTTGATCTGGAAGGCAATTCCAAATCTCATGAAGATAGCGATTGCACGGACGGTGAGAGAGACGCAGTCTCCATGTGGGTCGAGTACTGGCCGATGTAGCACGAACTTTTGGAAGGCTGTGTCGGAAGCAAACCACTTCTCGGAAATCTCCGTCTGCCACTCCTTGAAGGTACCAGAAGGTAGTTCGCTTTCATGAAGTCCGGGCTGGCGCGCACGCTTCGGCATGATAGACTTATCTATGATGCACAATCAGGACTCTGGTTGTCCTGCGACATGGAAGCTTGCATTGTTAGCCTTCAGACGAGTCACGAGAGTGAACAGCTACATACCGTGGGCGCGTGCTACATGGAGCCTACAGGACAGTGACGATAGTGAACAGCTACATACCGTGGGCGCATGGAGCCTACAGGACAGTGACGGTGGGCACGTGCTACATGGAGCCTACAGGACAGTGACGATGGTACACATGCACTTACCCCTGCAAGGACTCAACGGGACTCAAAAGACTTACAGCATATGCGTGCTTTTTTTTTCTCCGTGAGTACAGACCGCCCAGGCTCAAAATTTTCATAGAGACCCGCTGTGGCTAGGGTGTCTAGCTCAGGTTCAGCCATGCAAGATCAAGGCGGCCTCCTCTTCTGGATCCAGTAGCTGCGTCTCTTCTTGGTCCGGCAGAACCTTTTGACGGGAAGACGAAGACGGCATGGACTTCACCTCGGGGCCTGCAGCGTGGAACTCCTCTACGGGGACTGCGACAGATGTCTTGCTTGTCAGGCGACGCTTCGTGGAAGGTAGGTTGAATTGCCCAAGTCGACCTGGTGGCTTCGTGCAGCGAACTGGTAACGCTTCTGGGTCGGGGACTGGTACGCGCGCTTCTTCATCGGTTGATGGAGACGACGGTAGATGTACTGGGCGCGATGACGGGCTAAGCTTGGACGCAATGGTTGAGTTGACATCCGAGATGTAAACTTCCGGGAGGCCGGCCGCCTGAAGCGACTCCATTCCCCTGTGTAGCATCTCTTGTTCCACCTCCACATCATCAGCAAAGGTCGGGGGTAATTCGTGGATGCCTTGCTTGTACTTGGCGTAGTAAGGCTTGTCTCTATCTGAGAAAAGATCCCCATGCAAATCAATCCGAATCAAGTGGATGGGAGCGTCTTTCTCTCCACTGGGTAGGCGGAGGTACAACGCACGCTTGCCGAAGACGAGGACGACGGTCCTTTTAAGAATGGCGAGAACATCGAGGTCTGGGTAGGAGCAAAAGAACTTCTGCACGAGCTTGTAAAACTCGTCCCACGTGATGGATGTTTGCCATCGCTCGCTCAAGGGTTCATCCTCCTCTTTGAGATTGTTTGAGGACAACGCTCGCATTCCATTCCGGACGAGCTTGACGTCATTGTAGCGCCCCGAACAATTTTGGTCCTCCTCTGATGTCAGCTTGACTTCATGTCAGCCGCATCGAGTTTCTCCACCGATGGATCGTCTAGTATGAGGCCTTCGTGAACCTGTCCAGTTTTGTGGCGAAAGTTGTCGATCGCTTTCGCTCGCCGCCAAGCTGGACGAACACCTTCAAGACCGAGACGAGTGATGTGATACCTACCAATTGCGAGGCACAACAAGATAAGGAATGGAGTTTTCCCCACCCCGGGCCAGCCAAGCGTGATCATTCCATAGGAGGTCAGGAGTGGCATGACGAGTGGTAGAAGGAAGGTGCTCATCCAGGGCTTCACGCTTCGCACGGTCATCGGAAAGAAGCTCAAGGAAGTAGCCCCGGCAGTGCCTCTGCTCTTGTTTTGCGCCATGCGAAGGACCTTAGATTCCGGCCAGTTGCTGATGGGGGACCCGCTGTGCGAGTGGATGTTCCGCAAAATCCAAACGTACTGCTGGTTCTCCGAGTCGTCCTCTGGCGCGTTCTTGTTGATGTAGTCTACCCCTGCCATGAGTTCCTCATCCTCCACAGACCATGCCTGGGTTGAAGAACGACTGACCTCTGGCTTGTCCTTCTTGTTGTTCAGAGACCACCACACTACGTGATGGCCTGGAAGACGGTCAAGTAAGGAGTGGACTGCTTTATTCCATGCCCATGGGCCTTGCCGCCATGCAGGGAAATGCGCTTTTTCACTACACAAACCCACCGCATATTTCACAGAGGTCTTGCTCGCAAACTTGAAGACACGGACTACATTCATTGCGCCGTCCTCGAGGTTGTGCATGATGTAGGACACGGCGGCGTCACGGGGCATGGAGTCGGAAGGGCGTAGTTGCGGTGGAAGCAAGCTGTAGTCGTGCTGGACGATCTTTTCAGAAATGGTTGCGAGGTTGCCAATCTCGGTCATGCCGACGTGGACGTCCAAGATCATGGCACACGTCTTGGATGCTAAGTCTGTCCTGCAGGAATATGTCAGGAGATCCTGCAACTCCAGGTTGCCGTCCACGTTGTTGGTGTATGTTGGACGAGGCAGCTCGGTCAGGACCCAATCTTTTGAGCCGTACTTGGTCATAGCTTCATCCAACATGCGTGGCTGGGGCGGCATCTGAAGTGGCAGGAACTGGACTTCTTTGTACACAAATGTTAGGCCAGTGTGCTTGAAACAAGACATAAAGCAGACGAATACGTTTTCAGCAGTGTCAGGCAACAGCTCGCACACACAAGGCGCAGACATGAATGTTTCTTTTTTTCATCGACCGCAAAGAGCATGAGCTCCGTCATGCTTGTCATATATCAAAGAGCATGAGCTTCGTCATGCTATCGGCTCTCTGTTCAGGCCAAGGGCGTCGTTTGCCAGGTACAAGTCCTGCGACACTTCGGCGAGGTCCTGCTGGAGTACGTTAATCTGCTTGCGAAGCTGGCTCTTGGTTGTAGAAGAGGATGACGACGACGACGAAGATGAGGACGAACACGGGGACGCGGCCTGCGCTACTTCGATGGGTTCGCTGCGATTTGTGTTGGCTCCAGTGCCCTCCACCACCGGGGGTGGCCCGATGTCATCAATGTGAACCTCTTCTGTGGGTAGTTCCGCTTGTGCCTCACTCATGTCCATGTTCATGGGCATCATGACGGGCATGGCATGGATGTTGTCCTGATGCTTGTTGTCGTTCCCAATGGCGGGGACCTCGGGCTCGTTCGTGTTCATGGGCACAATGACCGGCATGGCATGGAGGTCTTCCTGATGCTCGTTGTCGTTCCCAATGGCTGGGCGACTCTCCTTATCGGGGATAGCAGCTTGTTGCTTTCGTCCAGCACGCTTGGCTTTGAGCAGGGTGTCCTGCAAGCGATTGTCGGCACTCAATGACCACGGAGGCGATGGATGACGAAGACCAAATGACAATTGGATGTTGTTGATCATGACGCGTATGTCGTGTGCAGAGAGCGGGAGCCTGGACTCGTGGCACTGCAGGTCCCCGCGGGTTACTTTTGCAAGTACTTCCTCAGCATCTGGAACCTTGTGCACGTAAATGTGAGGCTCTCCAGGTTTGCTAAGCTTCTTGACGGGTTCTGATGGAGATAACGTCAGTCTCACCTTCTGGCCCTTGAGGCATGCCCTGCCCGTAACCTTGAAACCATCCATTGCTCGACTAAGAGCTTCCGAAATCTACATTCTGTCTTACTGGCTTGAGTTTGGAAAAATCACACACTATATATGCTGACGCCATGAAGTTGCATCCTCATGTTATCCTACCATGCATAAAACACAACAAACCACAGGCCATACATAACAATCTCCAGGTCACAGCCGCAGTGCAGTCGAGAGACCTCGCAGGCATAATTAATCCAGGACGACTACCAATATTGAATATTGAAAAAGAAGTTCAATATTCAATACCGGGCAGAATCCAAGATCCAAGATCCAAGATGCCCAGGGACTCTTGGGGGGCAATCTTGGATACCACCCCCGGGCCCGGTATCCAAGATTGCCCCCCAAGAGTCCCTGGGCATCTTGGATCTTGGATCTTGGATTCCCACCCAATATTGAATATTGAAAAAAAAGTTCAATATTCAATATCGGGCAGAATCCAAGATCCAAGATCCAAGATGCCCAGGGACTCTTGGGGGGCAATCTTGGATACCACCCCCGGGCCCGGTATCCAAGATTGCCTCCCAAAAGTCCCTGGGCATCTTGGATCTTGGATCTTGGATTCCCACCCAATATTGAATATTGAAAAAAAAGTTCAATATTCAATATTGGTTGCTAGAAGGCTCAATCCCTTACAGGCTCAATCCCTTACATCTGAACACGGTTATCTTCAAGAATGCAAGTCCCTTAGACATTAATAGGGTTTTGTGGTTTAGGGTTAAAGGTTTAGGGTTTGAAAAAACTTAACATTTAAACTTAACAGAGGCAAATCCTCACGATTGGCTAAAAAAGCAGGGGGGGGGGGATATACACGCACCCTTAGGGTTTAGGGTTTAGGTTTTAGGGTTTAGGGTTTAGGGTTTAGGGCGTCTCGCCGCGCCGCGGCAGTAGATGTCATGCAGAGATGGCGCCCCAACACACCCAGGGGGTGTGAGGGGGCGGCAGGGGGGCCCAGGGGGGGTCAGGGAGGGGCAGGTTTTTGGGTTTGGTAGTGGGAATAATACTTGAGGTACCCCAGGCGGGGTACTGCACCGGCACTGGAGGTGCAGCTCACGCTCAACACAACTCTTTAGGCTTGCATAGTAACTCCAAGCGATGGTGTTAATCGCTGTCGGGTGTAGTGCTGGGTCCAGGCACCCTGAAAAGGGTGGGTACGGCCTAAGCAGGCCTGGGTGGGAATAGGGTTTAGGGTTTAGGGTTTATTAGGGTTTAGGGTTTATTAGGGTTTAGGGTTTAGGGTTTAGGGTTTAGGGTTTAGGGTTTAGGGTTTAGGGTTTAGGGTTTAGGGTTTAGGGTTTAGGGTTTAGGGTTTGGGTGTGTAGACAGAAGTACTTCGGGCTTAGGGATTAGGGATTAGGCTGGGGTGCTTCTTGTGTTCAAGTTTAGCTAGGTCTCTGCGGGACCCTAGCCTTCAAAAAATAGACTACTGCGACACAAACCCTCAACCCCAAAAGCCCCAAACCCTAAACCCTGAACTCTAAACCCTCAACCCTCAGCCCTAAACCCTAAAAGCCCCAAAAGCCCTAAACCCCCTAAAACCCCCTAACCCTCCTCCCTCAACTCTAAACCCTCAGCCCTAAACCCTAAAAGCCCCAAGAAGCCCTAAAGCCCTCCTCCCCACCTGGGGTGTAGGTGAGATGGATCAGCCGTGCGCCCAAGTTGGAGGCGCGGCTGACGGCCAGGAAGGAGCCCATCCCAAGCTTCTCGCACTCCTGGCTTCTTGAAGGGCATTTCGAGGGGGGGGGGGGGGGGTGTTGGGGGTGTTTTCTAGGTCAATACCCCTAAACCCCAACCCTGACACGTAAACTGCCAGCCCTTAAACCCTAAACCCCAAACAGCCCCAAACCCTAAACTCCCAAACCCCTGAGCCCCTTACCAGCCCTGAGCCCCAAACTCCACAACCCTCTCCCAAACCCCTATTACCCTAAACCCAAAACTCCTAACCCCCATATCCTTTAATCTCTGGGGAGCTACACGGTCCCTTAGTATGGGCCCTTAAAAGGGGACCCCTTATATTGCGCCCTACAACCGCCAGAACCCATACTTCAGAACCCTTGAACGGAGGTAAGGAACCATATTTCAGGGCGCCATATTATAACTACCCGAAACCCTAACCCTAAACCCTAAACCCTAAACCCCAAAACCCTATGAAGCCTTGAAGCATATTTGGGGGCCCCATATAACTACCCTTAGACAATCGCTGGACACCAAAACCCCAAGGAACCCTGAACCCTAAACCCTAAACCCTAAACCCTAAACCCTAAACCCTAAACCCTAAACCCCAAACCCTAAACCCTAAGCAGCGCGGGTCCTTCTCATCCAGCACCTCTGCCTTCAGACCCAGCCGCCCTGGGGGCTCAAGGCCGAAAAACCCTTTTGGGTTTAGGGTTTAGGGTTTAGGGTTTAGGGTTTAGGGTTTAGGGTTTAGGGTTTAGGGTTTAGGGTTTCGGGTTCAGGGTTCAGGGTTCAGGGTTCAGGGTTCAGGGTTCAGGGTTCAGGGTTCAGGGTTCAGGGTTCAAACCTCAAACTGAAACCCCGCCATAAGGACAATCACTCAGAAAGCTGCCCGTTTGCAGACTCATGGCCCGGTCCTGCTCGTTTAGGGGTTAGGGTTTAGAGTTTAGGGTTTAGGGTTTAGGGTTTAGGGTTTAGGGTTTAGGCTATAGGGTTTAGGGTTCCCTGAGTTGTGTCTGCAACCTTCTCGGGGGCTGGGTGCTCAGGTTTTGGGACTCCTGAACCCCTAAACCCTCAACCCTAAACCCCAAACCCTTAACCCTTAACCCTAAACCCTAAAACCCTAAGCCCTAAATCCTAAATCCACGGTTTAAGGCTTTTCGGGTGGAGGGTTTAGGGTGTCAGGGACGGGAGAAAAAACCGAAACCTTATGGTGGCGGCTGGCTGTTTCTCCTGGCTGGATACCGCAAAGCCGCACTTGGGGGCAGTTCGGGTTCTTTGGGGGTGGGGGGAGGGGGTTTAGGGTTAAGGCTTTTGGGGTTTGGGGCTTAGGGTTCAGGGTTCAGGGTTTAGGATCTGAGGGGACCCGGGTGTAGGGTTTATGGGCTAGGGGTTTAGGATTTTTAGGTACTAGGGTTCAGGGTTCCAGGGTATTGAAGCTGTAGGCTCGAAAGGGCACTTAAAGGTTCGGGGTTCAGCGCATCACCTCGTCCAAAGTAGGTCCTAAACCCTTCGTAGATTTTGGGGTTCGGGAGGGCAAATGCATGTAGCAAGCCTTCAGAGTCTCTCCAGGAGATCATTTGGGGGTTTGCGAGAATAAGGGACCCCTTACTATAAACCCTTTATAACAAGGACCCCTATAAGGTACCCCTCATCTCGGAAACCCCTAAACCCTAAACCCTAAACCCTAAACCCTAAACCCTCAACCCTCAACCCTCAACCCTGGAGGTACCCCTAACATCCTAAACCTAAATTTGACCCTAGTCGCCTGCCATCTCGGCCGCCGTGTTGGCCAGGTTCACTGGATCCACGATGTTCGCGGGCGCATTCCTGCTGCATGCTTCCTAAAACTCTGGACCCAGTAGACCTTGTGCACTCTATAGACCCTGCAAACTCTGTAGGCCCACAAGTAGGCCCACAAGCCCAAAACCCTAATTCCCTAAACCCTGAAGCCCTAAACTCCTAACTCCCTAGACCCTACATGCGCATAGAGACCTTAAACCCAACAACCCTAAGACGTTGAAGCATATCCGCCGACCCCAGCGGTAGCAGGGCGGCGTCAGTGAAGACCCCCCACCGCCCTCACCGCCCTCACCCGCTCTCACAGCATGCTGCTCATGACACCTTGAATTGGAGTGTTTTTGCATTGTTTGGCTTCAGTGCATGCCCAAACCCCGCCACCCATCGCCCTCACCCATGACGCCTTGAATTGGACCTTTGACCCCTGGTTTAAAGGGCCCAGTGCATGCCAGACCACCCCCACCCCC